TTTTTACATTGAGAGAATGTGAATTGTAAATTTAAAATTAGAATTCGATCAATTATATCTCAATCTTTTTTTTTAATGTTTAAAATTAAATTCATTTTTTCTATTTTTTTGTATAATTGCCGGATAAAATTCAATTACCGATAACAATAAATGATGAATTATCCAATTTATTCGACAAATACTTACTCGACAAATTAGCTAACGGTACATTCCTTATAGTTTAATCATCTTTAATGATCAAAAAAAGCTTTTTAAATTAAAATACGATGAAACTCTGCTACTTTGAAATTATTATTCAATGTTTGTTTTCATTTACTATACTTTTATTTCTGAATAATGAAAAATTTAATAAGGACTCTTAAAATTCAAAATTATTAGAAAAATAGGGCAAATGAGAATACGGTGCGATACTTGATGCGTAAAAATTCACAAACGATTAATCAATTAAAACATATATAGCTTGCTTAAAAGTCGAATGACACATTTGGAGCCATTTTTAGCAAAGAGTTAGAGAAGAGATTTCCTATAGTCTTGTGTAATAGGCGAGTCCCAACTCAGATTCAAAATCATTCAACGAAGTTCATAAGCCAAGCATCATTCACAAGCAATGATGATTAAAAAAAAACCTGCAGGCAAGAGTGCAAGAGAACAATTAAGATATAACGATTCTGACTTTGATACTGTTAACATCGTTTTAACATCATGTCTTTGTTCTTAATTATTTTATCTGATTTAACTATTTTGTTCATTTTATGTTCTTTTGGACTCTTGCCTGCAGGATTTTTTTTTAAATCACTATTGGCTTGTAAATCTTTGTTGAGTTTTGAATCTGAATTGGGACTTACCTGTTACGCAGGATTACTGTAACAAATCTCTTTTCTAATTCTTTGTACATCGCTAAGGATAGCCCCAAATGTGACCGAACATTCGACTTTTAAGCAAGCTAAATATATTTATGTTTTATGATTTATTAATCATATTTGATTGGTAAATTTTTGCGTACCATTAAGTATCGCGGCGTACTCTGATTTGCCCTATTTTTCTAATATATAATAATTTTTTATTTCTAATTCGATTCATCGTAGATCTTTCGTTATAGTAAATGTTCGTAATTATTAATTATATTCGAGAGCTAAATGCCTCAGGTATTTTATTTTATAGTTATTTCTTTAATAATTCAGGAAAATTAGTTTTAATTAATTACAAAACGACAGAGAGAAAAAGTAATATGATAAATATGAGAATACATTATATGTATATTCCGTATACATTATATATATGTAATATAAGAATACCAGCAAAGAATTTTGCATCTGCAGTCTTGCATGGTGCAGTGCCCAAAAGGCATTTGTAATATTGCATTCGCAATTTTTCGTTCGCCAAAATTTCATGAATATTGATATCGTCATATCGATTCGAATATAATTCTTCCTCTGCGAATACACATGCCAATGCAACGGCGATGATCATTACGATGAGGCTTAATCGAGCCATTGTTTCTTCTACCTTTGCACAAACTCTCAATAAAATTACTAAAGTAATGAACCAGCTGTTCATTCTATTTATAAAGATTAGTCGTAGCAAAAAAATTGTTATGTCAGAACATCTCACCAATGACAACGTCTTCATTAAAATACAAGGAATTAAAAAAAAGACAACTTTTTACAAGAATAAAGGATTTATAGGAAAGTTTCTTTCATAAAAACGATGATAAATTATCAAAATTACATTGATATCAAGCTTGAAGTGAAGAAGCAATTTGAAAAATGCAAATTTAGATAATGTTGTTTTTTTTTACATATTATATATTTTTATTGTAACGTTTCAATAAAACATTCAAAGGGGTATGTTTATATAACATGTTTTTATTTTAGTGCATAAAATCATACCAAAGTTGCGTAAAATCCAGAGACTCTCTGTATATTCCCAGACAGAGAATTCAAAAAGAATTCAAAAAGGATTCAGTTGTTATGTCATCAATTTAAAATTCATTTTCAGACACAAAAAAAATTCTTTTCTGTACAATTCTGATAAGAATGCTTTATATATCTGAAAATGAACTCGAAATTTTTGACATATGAATAAATTCTTTTTGTGCTATCTGTGTTTACAGCGTTTTTTTTGTTTGTTGATAGCTTATGTATACCGGGTTGGCAACGTTACTTCATAAAAATAACTCGCTTCTTTATTATTCATTACCGTTCTTTTTTCTAAAAAGTAACACGTTATCATTACCCAATATTGATTTGCAAAAGTAACTCGTTACCGTTACCGTCATTCAAAATGTAACGAATCGTTTTGTTTAAATAGTGCGAACTAAACTGAATCGAAAAGTCCTCTAACATTTTGCAATTTTTGCGATAGTTAACAAGATACTAATTATTAAACATCGCTTGATTTTCAGTAATTTTTTAACTCAAATACTATCAATTTTGCAGAAAAACAGCGAGAGAAAAATTGTTTACTTTCTTCTCATAAAGTTCTGAGAATTTTTTCAGAATTTTTTAATACCGCATTTTCTCATGTTGCGTTGATACAAATAAGAAAATGTAGTTGATATTAAAAAGTTGATAAAAAATTCTGAAAAAATTCTTAGAGTTTTATGAAAAGAAAACTAATGATTTTTGTCTTTTGCAGTATTTCTGTAAAGTTGATATTATTTGAGTAAAAAATGATTCAAAATCAATATTATTTCAAAATCAATTTTTAATATCTTGTTAGTAGAGGATTTTTCGACTCAGTTTAGTCCGCTCTATCTGCATTAAAGCGATTGGCCAAAACGGGACATCCTGTATATATATATATATAT